GACAGTGACGATTCCGGCGGTGTTTTATTTTGTAATCCCAAAGGTGTTTTATTCATTTTGCTGTTGCAGTCATAGTGAAACGCCACAGTGCTGACACCTATTAGATCATCGACACCGTGCTGCAATGTGGTTAACGTAAACAATTTAGGCATGGATTGCTCATTTTTACAGCCCGAAATCTTTCTGAATTATTGTATATCAATAAATTTGGAACAATTGAAAACTAAATCCAAGCTTTTACATTTTCTTTCCAAAAATGACGAAAGATCCTTTAACTCTGGCAACTGAAGACCTTGTGTGATTTCACCATTGTCCCACTTGGCAAATATCTCCTCTTCCCATTTGGCCTGTGTATCGGCGTCCAATTTAGAAACAAGTAAATGAAGCAATATTCCGTTTGCTATTTGGTCTTTTGATGCTATTGACTGGAGAGCACGAACATTGCCATTTACACAATCAATGAAATCTCTTAATTCGGCGGCAGTCTGTTTCGTGGAATCTTTAATGGCGAATATTTTATCAATGTGCGATCTAAATATGAAATACCGGCAAAGATTGTTGTTTTCTTTCAACACAGTATTAACCACATTATCACGATGTAGCTCTTTAGCCCGGATTGCATTGTTGCCGATTCCATTATTTGGTGGTGTTAGGGGCTCCATTTCTTCAATGTCAACTTTGCCTTCAAAATGTGAAATTTACCTACATACTGAAAAAACTTTTTGGTGCATGTAATCAAAGAACCAATGATGTAATTCTTATTAGTACGTCTGCGTAATGCTATATGCGCTTTTAGTTTGGTTGTAACTCAACCCGTTTTCTCAAAATCAACTACCATGTCAAAGTAAGAAAATCTCAAATTTTGCCTTCAAAATGTGAACTTTACCTACATACTGAAAAAACTTTTTGGTGCATGTAATCAACGAATTAATGTTGTAATTTTGTTGGCACAGCAAGATGTGATGATTGATCAGCTGATTTTGAGTTTTGCATTAGGGTGTCTGTTGGTTAATGCAATATGCGCTTTTAGTTTGGTTGTAACTCAACCCGTTTTTCAAAATCAACTACCATTAAAATCATAAAATAGCGATCTCAAATTTTGCCTTCAAAATGTTAAAATTGTCAGCCAACTGAAAATATTTTGGAATTGTCCAATTACTTAAATCAAAGGTTGTCGATGGCTGGTATGACGTAATTGAGGGAATAATCACAGCGTTAATAGTAGAACTGAACCCGTAATTGAGTGATTTGATGAACAACGAACAACTGGTGAAAGCACTTGTTTTGCTTGATGCAATGCCACTAATAATATGCTCTGTGATAAAATGGAGTTGAGACCCCGAATCTAACAGGGCACGAACTGTTATTGACCTTCCTTTATGTGATTGTAATTCCACTTGGGCCGTACCGAGAATAACTGGACAATTTTCATTTGAAATATGTAAGGTGGCTGGTGATGTAATTTTCGATGGCAATGTGTTTGGTGGTGGTGATGGCGACAGTGACGATTCCGGCGGTGTTTTATTTTGTAATCCCAAAGGTGTTTTATTTGGTTGCCTGTGCAGTAAGGTATGGTGCAACCCATTACAGTGCTGACACCTATTAGATGATGGACACCGTGCTGCAATGTGGTTACATCCTAAACAATTTAGGCATAGATTGTTCATTTTTACAGCCCGAAATCTTTCTGATTCTTGTATATCAATAAATTTGGAACAATTGAATGGGTTATGGTTGGGGGTGGTTTTACAGAACAAGCACGGAGTGCTATTCGAAACTACGCACGAAACACTAGAATATTTCTTGGATGACAGGGACTGCTTGTGGTGAAAATGTTTTCCATGAGGTCCAGGTACCTCCCTTTTTGTAGCCTTAGATGTAACTAAATCCAAACTTTTACATTTTCTTTCCAAAAATGACGAAAGATCCTTTAACTCTGGCAACTGAAGACCTTGTGTGATTTCACCATTGTCCCACTTGGCAAATATCTCCTCTTCCCATTTGGCCTGTGTATCGGCGTCCAATTTAGAAACAAGTAAATGAAGCAATATTCCGTTTGCTATTTGGTCTTTTGATGCTATTGACTGGAGAGCACGAACATTGCCATTTACACAATCAATGAAATCTCTTAATTCGGCGGCAGTCTGTTTCGTGGAATCTTTAATGGCGAATATTTTATCAATGTGCGATCTAAATATGAACCGTTTGTCATCTCCAGTGATTGAATCAATCTCGATGCTTCGCCTGTGAGACAGGAACGTAAATACTGAAATTTTGATAATGTAGAGAGATCAAAATGTGAAATTGTACTGACAAGCAGTACATATTAAAAACTTTGTCCACTCAGTGTAATCTCCGCTGAACTTAGGCAGTTGCAACGTTGGCAGTGTAGGTCGATTTTGATGATGAACAGATGACGAAAACGCATGGGTGCTATTCATTGATGGATGTAATATTCAGCCTTAGCATTGAAATGCGAGATTATGAGATTTTATGTTGAAATAGGCTTCCTCAAATAGCGACCTGTGATTCATCTCAAATTGAGATTCGTCCAGCGTTTCCACTTGACTTTGGATCTCTTCGAATAAATGGAACCGATGTTCCAACAATGACAGCTTAACTTCCAGCTGGTGGATAGTGAGATCGTTATACCGGTAAAGATTGTTGTTTTCTTTCACCACAGTATTAACCACATTATCAAAAAACTTTTTCTTGCATGTAATCAAAGAATCAATGATGTAATTCTTATTAGTACGTCTGCGTAATGCTATATGCGCTTTTAGTTTGGTTGTAACTCAACCCGTTTTCTCAAAATCAACTACCATGTCAATGTAAGAAAATCTCAAATTTTGCCTTCAAAATGTGAACTTTACCTACATACTGAAAAAACTTTTTGGTGCATGTAATCAAAGAATCAATGTTGTAATTCTTATTAGTACGTCTGCGTAATGCTATATGCGCTTTTAGTTTGGTTGTAACTCAACCCGTTTTCTCAAAATCAACTACCATGTCAAAGTAAGAAAATCTCAAATTTTGCCTTCAAAATGTGAAATTTACCTACATACTGAAAAAACTTTTTGGTGCATGTAATCAAAGAATCAATGTTGTAATTCTTATTAGTACGTCTGCGTAATGCTATATGCGCTTTTAGTTTGGTTGTAACTCAACCCGTTTTCTCAAAATCAACTACCATGTCAAAGTAAGAAAATCTCAACTTTGCCTTCAAAATGTGAAATTTACCTACATACTGAAAAAACTTTTTGGTGCATGTAATCAAAGAATCAATGTTGTAATTCTTATTAGTACGTCTGCGTAATGCTATATGCGTTTTTAGTTTGGTTGTAACTCAACCCGTTTTCTCAAAATCAACTACCATGTCAAAGTAAGAAAATCTCAAATTTTGCCTTCAAAATGTGAAATTTACCTACATACTGAAAAAACTTTTTGGTGCATGTAATCAAAGAATCAATGTTGTAATTCTTATTAGTACGTCTGCGTAATGCTATATGCGCTTTTAGTTTGGTTGTAACTCAACCCGTTTTCTCAAACTCAACTACCATGTCAAAGTAAGAAAATCTCAAATTTTGCCTTCAAAATGTGAAATTTACCTACATACTGAAAAAACTTTTTGGTGCATGTAATCAAAGAATCAATGTTGTAATTCTTATTAGTACGTCTGCAATGATGTAATTCTTATTAGTACGTCTGCGTAATGCTATATGCGCTTTTAGTTTGGTTGTAACTCTACCCGTTTTCTCAAAATCAACTACCATGTCAAAGTAAGAAAATCTCAAATTTTGCCTTCAAAATGTGAAATTTACCTACATACAGAAAAAACTTGTTGGTGCATGTAATCAAAGAATCATCATGTAATCAAAGAATCAATGTTGTAATTCTTATTAGTACGTCTGCGTAATGCTATATGCGCTTTTAGTTTGGTTGTAACTCAACCCGTTTTCTCAAAATCAACTACCATGTCAAAGTAAGAAATTCTCAAATTTTGCCTTCAAAAGTGAAATTTACCTACATACTGAAAAAACTTTTTCTTGCATGTAATCAAAGAATCAATGATGTAATTCTTATTAGTACGTCTGCGTAATTCTATATGCGCTTTTAGTTTGGTTGTAACTCAACCCGTTTTCTCAAAATCAACTACCATGTCAAAGTAAGAAAATCTCAAGTTTTGCCTTCAAAATGTGAACTTTACCTACATACTGAAAAAACTTTTTGGTGCATGTAATCAAAGAATCAATGTTGTAATTCTTATTAGTACGTCTGCGTAATGCTATATGCGCTTTTAGTTTGGTTGTAACTCAACCCGTTTTCTCAAAATCAACTACCATGTCAAAGTAAGAAAATCTCAACTTTGCCTTCAAAATGTGAAATTTACCTACATACTGAAAAAACTTTTTGGTGCATGTAATCAAAGAACCAATGATGTAATTCTTAAAAAATGCGCTTTTAGTTTTTCAAAGGTGCATGTGCATGTTATCAAAGAATCAATGTTGTAATTCTTATTAGTACGTCTGCGTAATGCTATATGCGCTTTTAATTTGGTTGTAACTCAACCCGTTTTCTCAAAATCAACTACCATGTCAAAGTAAGAAAATCTCAAATTTTGCCTTCAAAATGTGAACTTTACCTACATACTGAAAAAACTTTTTGGTGCATGTAATCAAAGAATCAATGTTGTAATTCTTATTAGTACGTCTGCGTAATGCTATATGCGCTTTTAGTTTGGTTGTAACTCAACCCGTTTTCTCAAAATCAACTACCATGTCAAAGTAAGAAAATCTCAACTTTGCCTTCAAAATGTGAAATTTACCTACATACTGAAAAAACTTTTTGGTGCATGTAATCAAAGAATCAATGTTGTAATTCTTATTAGTACGTCTGCGTAATGCTATATGCGCTTTTAGTTTGGTTGTAACTTAACCCGTTGGTGAGGACAAGAGCTTTTTCTTGTCCTGTTGGGTGCAAAAATAAACTTCAGAAATTTCACTTTAAATAAAAAATTATATTTCTATTTTTCACAATGAAATTCAGGAACTTTATTTCTTCAAGTATATTGATTGACTGTACCAAAACGAATAAAAATTAAAATGAAAAAATCCGCAAACAATTTCTGCCTACGTGACAAATTTTAACAAACGGTACAACAGAACATCCAATTCATTCGTCGTTGTTGTTGTTTTTAAGTTTGTAACAACCAATCAGAATTTGAGTACTTATTAATATAATTATGTTGTGTTTGTTGTTATTCTACATTCTATGTTTTGTTATTTATATTGACTGGGCAACACTTAAAACTACCCTGTGGGAAATTTTGGCTTGATCCTCAACATTCTCCCCCCTTGAAAGCTTTGCTTTCAATCTCTAGAGGTAGTTTACAGAGTCTTGCAATAGATCGCTTGAATTCGCCGTCGCTTGTTCGGACTGTCACGACTCGAACTTGCCCATCCTCACCTGGGTTAGTTGATACTACACGTCCTAAAGGCCATTTGATTGGTGGAGTTGCGTCTTCTTTAATCAGAACAAGGTCGTTCACTTCAAGGTTTGGTTGAATGCCAGTCCATTTTTGATTGAGTTGAAGGGACTTCAAATATTCGTTACTCCAACGATCCCAAAACATCTGATGTATGCAACGTATAATTTGATATCTTTTCAATGTTGACGTTTTTAGATCAATTGCTGTTGCTTCCACAATGGTTGTCATCGGCCTACCAATTAAAAAGTGCGATGGAGTAAGTGGGTGGAAATCGTTTGGGTCACTAGACATAGATGTAAGTGGTCTGCTGTTGACAATAGCTTCTGCTTGGCATGCGACGGTGTGTAACTCATCAAATGTTAATACATGTGTCCCGACTGCTATCTTTATATGATATTTTGCTTGCTTTACCGCACTTTCCCACAAGCCTCCAAAATGTGGTGAGCGAGGGGGTATAAATCTCCACTCAATACCCCATGCGGGATACAAAACGTTTCAGTGCAGCTATAAATGCGTTTGTGGTTAAATCAGGAACCAACTCGAAATGCACTGCCTTTACACAAAAACAAATAAAAACCGCAATATAAACCTTTATGGGTGATCTGCCTCTTATTTGCTGAGTTATGAAGAAAGGACCACAGTAGTCAACTCCCGATACGGCAAATGGGAACGTCTGTTGAACTCGTTCTTTTGGTAGATCACCCATGATTTGTGTTTCTGATGGGTTTGTATCTATAGCAAAGTATGCAATCGTGAATAACTTTTTTGATTGCTCGTCTTCCATTGATGATCCACATACTTTCTCGCAGGATGTTGTGTAGCGTGAGAACACCAGCATGGAGGTGTTGTCGATGAAAATGTCTGATGATGGTGTGAACAAATGGATGATCAGGTGGTAAAACAATTGGATGTTTTGCGGCAAAGGGCAAGCAGGCATTTCGGATGCGTCCGCCAACACGTATTAAGCCATCATGCAAAAATGGTGATAGTTGTGAGAGTTTAGATTGACGATCTACCTGCTTATGAGCTTCTAAGCAGCGAAATTCATTTGCGAAATAACCTTTCTGAACAATGCGGCAAACTGTAATGAATGCATTGTTTATTTCAGCAACGTCTATGGTTGAGCCGACATTCTTTGCTTTACGTAGCATCCCAATGTATCTAATGACATACGCAACAATTCTTAATAATTTGTCATAGTTGTTGATGTACTTATGACTGGAAATCCAATCTTCTTTGACGACTGTTAGTAAAGATGTCTTTACTTTCCTGGTTTCACATATTGAGTCCTCTGGATGTGAAGTTATTTCGTCTGGCCAGAATATGATGTCTTCCCTTAGGAAGTGGGGTCCATGAAACCACAAGTCGTTATTGATCAAATTTAAAGCAGTCGAACCACGTGACACTATATCTGCTGGGTTAAGCTGTGATGGTACATGACGCCATTTTGCCGATGAACAGCTCCGGTGAATTTTTGGTGACACGGTTCGCTACAAATGTTGTCCATCGTGTTGGCTCCCCAGCAATCCAACATAGCACTATTGACGAATCTGACCAACACACTATATTTGTTGGCTGAATGGGCAACAGAGAAAGCACAAAATCCAAAAGTTGAGTGGCAAGCACCGCTGCACATAATTCTAATCTCGGCAATGTTGTGTGTTTAAGGGGGGCCACTCTCGATTTTGAACACAAGAGTGACGAATGCAGTCCTCCCGAAGTCCGAGTTACCACATAAATGCAAGCTCCATATGCTTTTGTGCTGGCATCTGCAAATGCATGAATGTTAGTAGAATTATTGAAAGCAACAAACCTTGGAATTTTGAACTGTTCTGCGACTGACAGCTGTTGTCGAATATTCGACCATTCCATCATAATATCCTGGGATACTGTTTCATCCCAGTGTAGTTTAAGCGACCAAATGCTCTGCAAAAGAAGTTTACACCTGACAACTATAGGGTTAACCAGTCCCAAAGGATCGAAGAGTCTGGCCATTTCCGATAAAATACCCCTTTTGGTTATCCTCGATGTGGAAGAATGCATGTCAGTGTAGGCGTAGGTGAAGACATCATCAGTTGGTGACCATTTAAGTCCAAGTGTTTTGATATATTGAAAATCATCCACCGTGATGATTTCCTCCCGATCTGACGAAGCAATGTCTTGTAATATATCCTCGTTATTTGCACCGAATTTCCGTAAAATAAACCCAGAGTTTTCCATGCGGGATACAAAACGTTTCAGTGCAGCTATAAATGCGTTTGTGGTTAAATCAGGAACCAACTCGAAATGCACTGCCTTTACACAAAAACAAATAAAAACCGCAATATAAACCTTTATGGGTGATCTGCCTCTTATTTGCTGAGTTATGAAGAAAGGACCACAGTAGTCAACTCCCGATACGGCAAATGGGAACGTCTGTTGAACTCGTTCTTTTGGTAGATCACCCATGATTTGTGTTTCGGTGATGGGTTTGTATCTATAGCAAAGTATGCAATCGTGAATAACTTTTTTGATTGCTCGTCTTCCATTGATGATCCACATACTTTCTCGCAGGATGTTGTGTAGCGTGAGAACACCAGCATGGAGGTGTTGTCGATGAAAATGTCTGATGATGGTGTGAACAAATGGATGATCAGGTGGTAAAACAATTGGATGTTTTGCGGCAAAGGGCAAGCAGGCATTTCGGATGCGTCCGCCAACACGTATTAAGCCATCATGCAAAAATGGTGATAGTTGTGAGAGTTTAGATTGACGATCTACCTGCTTATGAGCTTCTAAGCAGCGAAATTCATTTGCGAAATAACCTTTCTGAACAATGCGGCAAACTGTAATGAATGCATTGTTTATTTCAGCAACGTCTATGGTTGAGCCGACATTCTTTGCTTTACGTAGCATCCCAATGTATCTAATGACATACGCAACAATTCTTAATAATTTGTCATAGTTGTTGATGTACTTATGACTGGAAATCCAATCTTCTTTGACGACTGTTAGTAAAGATGTCTTTACTTTCCTGGTTTCACATATTGAGTCCTCTGGATGTGAAGTTATTTCGTCTGGCCAGAATATGATGTCTTCCCTTAGGAAGTGGGGTCCATGAAACCACAAGTCGTTATTGATCAAATTTAAAGCAGTCGAACCACGTGACACTATATCTGCTGGGTTAAGCTGTGATGGTACATGACGCCATTTTGCCGATGAACAGCTCCGGTGAATTTTGGTGACACGGTTCGCTACAAATGTTGTCCATCGTGTTGGCTCCCCAGCAATCCAACATAGCACTATTGACGAATCTGACCAACACACTATATTTGTTGGCTGAATGGGCAACAGAGAAAGCACAAAATCCAAAAGTTGAGTGGCAAGCACCGCTGCACATAATTCTAATCTCGGCAATGTTGTGTGTTTAAGGGGGGCCACTCTCGATTTTGAACACAAGAGTGACGAATGCAGTCCTCCCGAAGTCTGAGTTACCACATAAATGCAAGCTCCATATGCTTTTGTGCTGGCATCTGCAAATGCATGAATGTTAGTAGAATTATTGAAAGCAACAAACCTTGGAATTTTGAACTGTTCTGCGACTGACAGCTGTTGTCGAATATTCGACCATTCCATCATAATATCCTGGGATACTGTTTCATCCCAGTGTAGTTTAAGCGACCAAATGCTCTGCAAAAGAAGTTTACACCTGACAACTATAGGGTTAACCAGTCCCAAAGGATCGAAGAGTCTGGCCATTTCCGATAAAATACCCCTTTTGGTTATCCTCGATGTGGAAGAATGCATGTCAGTGTAGGCGTAGGTGAAGACATCATCAGTTGGTGACCATTTAAGTCCAAGTGTTTTGATATATTGAAAATCATCCACCGTGATGATTTCCTCCCGATCTGACGAAGCAATGTCTTGTAATATATCCTCGTTATTTGCACCGAATTTCCGTAAAATAAACCCAGAGTTTTTCAGCAGATCCGTCACCTGTATCTTGATGTCAATAGCCTCGTTTATTGTATCACTGCCGGTTATGAGATTGTCCACATAAAAATCTCGTAGTGTGATTTTGGAACCCAATGGAAATTTCTCCGCTTCGGCCTTTGCTGCTGATTGAAGACTCTTGACAGCTAAGAAAGGTGCACAGCTCGTCCCATATGTAACCGTTTTTAACATGTACGTCAGCAACGGTTCTTGTGGCGAAGCTCTCCATAATATACTCTGCCAACGACAATCTTATCACTCACAAGCACTTGGCGGTACATTTTCGCAATATCTGCCACTACTGCGTACTTGTGGAATCTAAATCTAGTTAATATTGAAAAAATGTCTTCTTGTAGTGTAGGCCCAACTCGTAAAATGTTGTTTAGTGACAGGCCATTTGATGTTTGGCATGAGCCGTCGAAGACTACCCTCAACTTCGTCGTCGAACTGTCAGACTTTGTTACGCAATGGTGTGGGATGTAATTGTACAAAGAGGGGTTATCAGGTGTTGCTACTACCATATGTTTCATCTCAATATATTCACGAATGAACTCACCATACTCTTTTCGTAATTCCTCATTTCTTTCCAATTTTCTCTCAAGAGAATAAAATCTTCGCTGTGCTATTTCAAATGATGACCCGAGTTCATGCGGAGATGTTTTAAATGGTAGTCTAACTATTATACGGTTTGTTGTTGGGCACCTGGTAGTTGTCTCTTCATAAAATCGTTCACACTCTTCTTCATCTACGTTGAGTGATCTTTTTATTTCTCTTTCACACTCTTCCATGTTCCAGAATCTTTCCAATATTGAATTGATTGACGGTTCGTGTGTTGCTTTAATGCAGTGGTAATCTGGCTGGTTAGAACATTTTGTGCACACAAAAGAGAAATAAATATCTTGTTTTTGTTTTGACATTGTATTTTGCCGTGGTGGGTTGGTGATCATTCCGTTGTTGTTACATGGTGAGTTGGAGTTTGTTGGCACAGCAAGATGTGATGATTGATCAGCTGATTTTGAGTTTTGCATTAGGGTGTCTTGTTGGTTAATTGTTGACCCTGCAACAATCCAACCTAATTTGGTTTTTTGAAGAATTGGTGTTTTTTCACTCTTAATTTGGCCAACCATTAAAATATCATAAAATAGCGATGCTCCAATTAGCAAATCGACTGGTCCAGGGGTGTTAAAACACTTGTCAGCCAACTGAACATATTTTGGAATTGTCCAATTACTTAAATCAAAGGTTGTCAATGGCTGGTATGACGTAATTGAGGGAATAATCACAGCGTTAATAGTAGAACTGAACCCGTAATTGAGTGATTTGATGAACAACGAACAACTGGTGAAAGCACTTGTTTTGCTTGATGCAATGCCACTAATTTCCATATTTACCTTGTTGCGGGGTACACGTAAGTGTTGTGCAATATGCTCTGTGATAAAATGGAGTTGAGACCCCGAATCTAACAGGGCACGAACTGTTATTGACCTTCCTTTATGTGATTGTAATTCCACTTGGGCCGTACCGAGAATAACTGGACAATTTTCATTTGAAATATGTAAGGTGGCTGGTGATGTAATTTTCGATGGCAATGTGTTTGGTGGTGGTGATGGCGACAGTGACGATTCCGGCGGTGTTTTATTTTGTAATCCCAAAGGTGTTTTATTTGGTTGCCTGTGCAGTAAGGTATGGTGCAACCCATTACAGTGCTGACACCTATTAGATGATGGACACCGTGCTGCAATGTGGTTCATCCTAAACAATTTAGGCATAGATTGTTCATTTTTACAGCCCGAAATCTTTCTGATTCTTGTATATCAATAAATTTGGAACAATTGAATGGGTTATGGTTGGGGGTGGTTTTACAGAACAAGCACGGAGTGCTATTCGAAACTACGCACGAAACACTAGAATATTTCTTGGATGACAGGGACTGCTTGTGGTGAAAATGTTTTCCATGAGGTCCAGGTACCTCCCTTTTTGTAGCCTTAGATGTAACTAAATCCAAACTTTTACATTTTCTTTCCAAAAATGACGAAAGATCCTTTAACTCTGGCAACTGAAGACCTTGTGTGATTTCACCATTGTCCCACTTGGCAAATATCTCCTCTTCCCATTTGGCCTGTGTATCGGCGTCCAATTTAGAAACAAGTAAATGAAGCAATATTCCGTTTGCTATTTGGTCTTTTGATGCTATTGACTGGAGAGCACGAACATTGCCATTTACACAATCAATGAAATCTCTTAATTCGGCGGCAGTCTGTTTCGTGGAATCTTTAATGGCGAATATTTTATCAATGTGCGATCTAAATATGAACCGTTTGTTATCATATCTTAACTTTAGTATATTTAAGGCTTCTTCGTAATTTTGTGGTGTCATCTCCAGTGATTGAATCAATCTCGATGCTTCGCCTGTGAGACAGGAACGTAAATACTGAAATTTTGATAATGTAGAGAGATCAGCTACGTCGTGTACTGACAAGCAGTACATATTATAAAAATCTGTCCACTCAGTGTAATCTCCGCTGAACTTAGGCAGTTGCAACGTTGGCAGTGTAGGTCGATTTTGATGATGAACAGATGACGAAAACGCATGGGTGCTATTCATTGATGGATCGGTAATATTCAGCCTTAGCATTGAAATGCGAGATTATGAGATTTTATGTTGAAATAGGCTTCCTCAAATAGCGACCTGTGATTCATCTCAAATTGAGATTCGTCCAGCGTTTCCACTTGACTTTGGATCTCTTCGAATAAATGGAACCGATGTTCCAACAATGACAGCTTAACTTCCAGCTGGTGGATAGTGAGATCGTTATACCGGCAAAGATTGTTGTTTTCTTTCACCACAGTATTAACCACATTATCACGATGTAGCTCTTTAGCCCGGATTGCATTGTTGCCGATTCCATTATTTGGTGGTGTTAGGGGCTCCATTTCTTCTATGGAGTCTAGTGCGTTTGCTTCCATACTTTTTTAGTCGAATAAAATTACTGGAACAATTAAATCCGGCTCGAAGGACCTATGGTGAGGACAAGAGCTTTTTCTTGTCCTGTTGTGTGCAAAAATAAACTTCAGAAATTTCACTTTAAATAAAAAATTATATTTCTATTTTTCACAATGAAATTCAGGAACTTTATTTCTTCAAGTATATTGATTGACTGTACCAAAACGAATAAAAATTAAAATGAAAAAATCCGCAAACAATTTCTGCCTACGTGACAAATTTTAACAAACGGTACAACAGAACATCCAATTCATTCGTCGTTGTTGTTGTTTTTAAGTTTGTAACAACCAATCAGAATTTGAGTACTTATTAATATAATTATGTTGTGTTTGTTGTTATTCTACATTCTATGTTTTGTTATTTATATTGACTGGGCAACACTTAAAACTACCCTGTGGGAAATTTTGGCTTGATCCTCAACACCCGTTTTCTCAAAATCAACTACCATGTCAAAGTAAGAAAATCTCAACTTTGCCTTCAAAATGTGAAATTTACCTACATACTGAAAAAACTTTTTGGTGCATGTAATCAAAGAACCAATGATGTAATTCTTATTAGTACATCTGCGTAATGCTATATGCGCTTTTAGTTTGGTTGTAACTCAACCCGTTTTCTCAAAATCAACTACCATGTCAAAGTAAGAAAATCTCAAATTTTGCCTTCAAAATGTGAACTTTACCTACATACTGAAAAAACTTTTTGGTGCATGTAATCAAAGAATCAATGTTGTAATTCTTATTAGTACGTCTGCGTAATGCTATATGCGCTTTTAGTTTGGTTGTAAATCAACCCGTTTTCTCAAAATCAACTACCATGTCAAAGTAAGAAAATCTCAACTTTGCCTTCAAAATGTGAAATTTACCTACATACTGAAAAAACTTTTCGGTGCATGTAATCAAAGAATCAATGTTGTAATTCTTATTAGTACGTCTGCGTAAAGCTATATGCGCTTTTAGTTTGCAGGTGTTGCTACTACCATATGTTTCATCTCAATATATTCACGAATGAACTCACCATACTCTTTTCGTAATTCCTCATTTCTTTCCAATTTTCTCTCAAGAGAATAAAATCTTCGCTGTGCTATTTCAAATGATGACCCGAGTTCATGCGGAGATGTTTTAAATGGTAGTCTAACTATTATACGGTTTGTTGTTGGGCACCTGGTAGTTGTCTCTTCATAAAATCGTTCACACTCTTCTTCATCTACGTTGAGTGATCTTTTTATTTCTCTTTCACACTCTTCCATGTTCCAGAATCTTTCCAATATTGAATTGATTGACGGTTCGTGTGTTGCTTTAATGCAGTGGTAATCTGGCTGGTTAGAACATTTTGTGCACACAAAAGAGAAATAAATATCTTGTTTTTGTTTTGACATTGTATTTTGCCGTGGTGGGTTGGTGATCATTCCGTTGTTGTTACATGGTGAGTTGGAGTTTGTTGGCACAGCAAGATGTGATGATTGATCAGCTGATTTTGAGTTTTGCATTAGGGTGTCTTGTTGGTTAATTGTTGACCCTGCAACAATCCAACCTAATTTGGTTTTTTGAAGAATTGGTGTTTTTTCACTCTTAATTTGGCCAACCATTAAAATATCATAAAATAGCGATGCTCCAATTAGCAAATCGACTGGTCCAGGGGTGTTAAAACACTTGTCAGCCAACTGAACATTTTTTGGAATTGTCCAATTACTTAAATCAAAGGTTGTCAATGGCTGGTATGACGTAATTGAGGGAATAATCACAGCGTTAATAGTAGAACTGAACCCGGAATTGAGTGATTTGATGAACAACGAACAACTGGTGAAAGCACTTGTTTTGCTTGATGCAATGCCACTAATTTCCATATTTACCTTGTTGCGGGGTACACGTAAGTGTTGTGCAATATGCTCTGTGATAAAATGGAGTTGAGACCCCGAATCTAACAGGGCACGAACTGTTATTGACCTTCCTTTATGTGATTGTAATTCCACTTGGGCCGTACCGAGAATAACTGGACAATTTTCATTTGAAATATGTAAGGTGGCTGGTGATGTAATTTTCGATGGCAATGTGTTTGGTGGTGGTGATGGCGACAGTGACGATTCCGGCGGTGTTTTATTTTGTAATCCCAAAGGTGTTTTATTTGGTTGCCTGTGCAGTAAGGTATGGTGCAACCCATTACAGTGCTGACACCTATTAGATGATGGACA